GATTATGAAGACTTCGATGTCTGAGTGGAAGCATGAAATAAAATGGACATGTTGGACGCAATTGGACGATCTGGACTTCGAAAATGACCTAGCTCTTCAATCTCATACACACGGGCAAATTCAGGTCAAGACAAACAATGTAGCAGCAGCTAGTGTATCAGTAGGCCTCAACATACACAAAGGAAAAAGCAATATTGTCAAATACAACACGGAGAACAGCAATCCAATCACTCTTGATGGAGAAGCTCTGGAAGAGGTGGAATCTTCCACGTACCTGGAAAGCATGATTGATGAACAAGGAAGATCTGATGCAGACGTAAATGCAAGGAATGGCAAAGCAAGAGCTGCATCCATACAATTGATAAACATATGGAACTTAAAACAACTGTCAACTAATACCAAAATCAGAATCTCCAATACGAACGTCAAGACAGTTACACTGTACTGAGCTGAAACGTGGATAACTACTGCAACCATAATCAAAAAGGTACAAGTTTTTATAAACGATTTTCTACGCAAGATACTCAATATCCATTGACCGGATATTATCAGCAACAGCCTACTGTGGGTGGAGACAAACGTGTTTCCAGCTGAAGAAGAAGTTAGGAAGAGACGTTGAAAGTGGATAGGATATAAATTGAGGAAATCACCAAACTGTACCGCGAGGCAAGCCCTAACTTGCAATCCCGAATGGAAACGGAAAAGAGGAAGGCCGAAGAACACACTACGTCGGGACTTGGAAGCAGACATGAAAAAGATGACTAGGAACTGGAAACTATTGCCCAGGACCGGGTTGCATGAAGAATGTAGTGTCGGCTACCACGTTAAGCTCAGACACCTTGTCCTAGCATCTGGACAGCTCGAGATTTTAAAATAATAACACTGGGGAAATATCTGATTAGAATATTTCGTGTCAATAATTTGCTTACTTGCCCTAGAGTGGCAGCAGACGACACACAATTCTGCCAATTTATGCTTGATTTAAAAGTAGGATATTCAGAAAGGGCAGCAAAACCCATATTGAAGCTCATTAATTGGCGGGTGAACATTTACTTTCTGTGTAGTGCAGAAGTTTTCATACTTTAGAGAGTTAGACATTTTGCAGGCGTTATCCTACTTATGTAAATGTCTTTTATTCACGTTAAATATATTGTTCTATCTCTAGCCCAGTTTTATTCCTCATCATTTACTGGCTTTTGTTACGATGCGATGGGTTGGTGTAGTCAATGGTATGACTTCCACGTAAAACCTTATAGATTAGGCAGTTAAATAACGGCAAATCTACAATTTTAGGGTTAGGTCTATTATGAGAGCGGTACTGATATCGAAGTAGACCGTTTCCAAAATTTTGATATTCCTTCAACCACTTCTTAACTGATACAATTTAAAATGGAACTTTCAGCAAAGTATTCGGAACTGCCATTATCTATCAATTTCGAAAAATGTGATTCACCAAATATTTTATTACTCAGACGTTCAATTGCATGGTTATTTCCTGTGATACGTGGAAGGGTTTACTCTTTTTAGCTTTGCTGTTCAATTTAATATTGCCAAATAGATGACGGAAACAATATACGCTAGCGTGACACAATCTGCGTAATACCCTATTCGTCTAAACGTTTTTCGCGAAGAAGACAAAATGAAATACAAACGATAACATTCTGTGCGAAAATATACTAAACTCTGTCGTACTCTGACTCGTGACCTTAGTATTCGTCATGATTGTAGACGCTCCCAAACTCCTCGAAGGAATACCTCACGAAAACGTTATGCCTCTAGATCACGAGAGGCAGATAACCCAGACTGGGGACGGTATCATAGTCAGTACAGGAAATCTTCTCAAAATTGCACAAAACCTTGCTATTTCGTGAGCCACCAACCAACCGACCCGAAAATCTGAGATCGACTAAGAACAAACCTGATCACTTGATAGATTTAGGAATCATTCGGCCGCCAATCAGCCCATGGGCATCTCCGCTGCACATAGTCCCTAAAAAGGACAACAACGACTGCCGTCCAACTGGTGACTATCGTCGACTGAATGCAAAGACCATTCCCGACCGTTACACGTCACCTCACGTTCACGATTTGACAGCTACCTTGAAAGGTACAGCTGCCTTTTCGAAAATCGATTTGGTTAAAGCGTATAACGAAATCCCTATGGCTACTGATGATATTCCGAAAAACGCCATCATAAATCTCTTCGGACTCCACGAATTTTTGCGCATGCCTTCCAAATTGAGAAGTGCTGCCCAAACATTTCAAAGGTTCATAAATGACGCTTTTCGAGTTCTCAACTTTGAACATGCGTACGTTGATGACTGCTTGATTGCAAGCTCGGAAAGAGGATTTTACCTCCAGGAGCTGAATCTTTTTTTCGTACGACCGCAAAACCAAGGCATTACAGTCAACACTCAGAAATGTTTAAGTCAGAATCCCTATATTTTCATGAACATACTATTGATGCGCGGACCTCTAGAAGTAAAGTATGGCCATTCTGGATTGCCCAGAACCGACCACAATTAAGCAACTACGAACATTTAACGGCCTAGTAAGTTTCTGTAGACGGTTCGTACCAAACTGCGCATCCTTTATGAAACTTCTCACCAACCAACTTCGTGAAAATGCAAAATCCATCAATTAGGAGGATACCGCACGAAAAGCATTCTCCACAGTCAAGGAACTTATCGCTAAGGCAACAATGCTTGCACATCAGGACACTCAAGCACCCACTAGTATCACAGTAGATGCATCCAACTCAGCAATCGGAAGAATCTTACAACAAAGTGTTAATAACTCTTGGCAACCTTTGGCATTTTTCTCTAGACGGTCGCTAGACGATGAATCGAGGTGCAGCACGTTCAGTAGGGAACTCCTAGCTATGTATTGTGCTGTACGGCACTTTCCAGGCCGAAAATTCACTCTTTTCATTGACTATAAACATCTTAACTTCTCGTTATGCTCATCTTCATCGTGAGTCTCGACAACTGGACTACATTTCGCAGTTTACTTCAGACATTCAAAACATATCTGGAGCAAGCAATAAAGTTTCAGACACCTTGTCTCGCATAACTTCCCTGAACAGTTTCCAAGGCTTCAACCTTCTTAAACTTGCCCAGCTTCTAAAAGAAGAAACCGATCTTTAGCACGAGTTATCTTTAACAACTCTTAAACTGATTATTAAACAGATGGGAACACGTAAGGAGACCTTACTAAGAGACACATCTACAGGTAGGGATCGTCCAATCGTGCAGAAACATAACCGACACAACGTCTTCAATACGTTGCGCAAACTTTCTCATTCAGGTATCCGTGCCAGAAATCTAAAGTCATTATACACAAAAAATGTCCCTTAGGTCAGTTAAGAATCCCCGACGCTCACTTTGGCCATTTTAGCTAGATTTGGTAGGACCCTTGCCAGATTCAAGCGGATACTCGTGTCTCTTAACGTGTGTATGCCATTTCACACGATCACCAGAAGCAGTACTCATCAAGGACATTACTGCTACTTCGTGCGTTTGTCGAACGGTGGTTAGCAAATTTTGGCTGCCCTTCTACTATCACTACAGACCGTGGACGCCTGTCCACATACGGACTTTTCTACTGTCTGACTACATTATTTAGAATCACATGATTCCGAGCGACCGCCTATCGCTCACAAGCAAACAGGTTGGTAAAACGCCTACAATGACAGTCGAGACCCTCACTCGCAGTTGACAATTTTCACATAGGACTGACGCCCTTCCACTTGCGTGTATTCCGACATGCACTTACAATTTCTTTTGTTCCTTTTTGAGGACGGTTGGAGAAGATGGAAAACTGACAAAGAATACGACGAATAGAAGCTTTCATCACACGTTTTTTCGTTGCTATGTTCAGCCACATTGCTTTTTATACTATGTAAAGACGATCAGATGCTACTGAACATAGCAGGCTATCAGAACATTGTTTACCAACGACAAAGTCGTCAGGTTTAAACTTCTGACTGGCTACGCCTCAAATTCGTCACTGCTCCGCTAGGATGGTAGCGAGCGACAAATAAATTTGCGAGACAAATAGTTCTATAAATCGTTTAAAGATCCCCGTCATATTAAAAGACTAATATTTGAACGAAGAATATTCTTTTCGATAAATTCTCTTCAGGTTCTACAATTATATATCCAAATTATTAATCCGAAAAATGGCAAAGTTAAGGGTAAAGTACATCGTTTAGAGCATGTGAATTTAGGATATTCTTCGTTCAAATATTAGTTCTATAAATCTTCGGCATTTTATGCTGATCTTATTAGCTGAGGGCGCTCGACCATGCATCCGCACCAGATAACAAACGGGTACGCCGTGCTTAACTTCTCCTACAGCCGCTGACCAGCTTAGGCTATTCACTTCTCGATAAATCGATATTCTATCAAATATATCTCCCAGCCTGTTTGCTCGCGACTTCTGATTTCACAGGGTTGGCACATTTCGATTATAAAAGTGTTACTAGTTAAGGTGTTGTCAAACATCGAATACTTGTGACATCCCTACACTTCATTATCAACTAAGCAATACGAGCCATTCACACAATCAAATCTAAAGCAGAAATAAGTTCAGAATTATACGTAGTCATTTAAACTATGATTTACCAGTATTCTCTCAGCATTCAAACAATGCCGACCCAATAGTTTGGAACTAGTCTCTTTTCTATTATTTCTTCATTATTGATCGCCTCACTTTCTCTTTACATCATCTTCTGCATTTTCCTCAACAGCACCGTTAAAAGATAATCAAACAGAGATGGTCATTTACAACATTTTACGCTTTTTCGATTTCTGTTCATTTTAGAGATCGAAAATAATGCATAAAAATTCAACAGACAAAGTTAACCTTTAGTTTGACTTCGTTCAACCAGGAGCTTCTGGAAGAAGCTAAGTAACTTCCTAATCAGTTACAGTTAATGCAGTTGTTGAATCGTGAATATTGAAATGGTGCCAAAAAAATTGTCAGTTTTTGAATATCAGACTCTACAGTCAATTTGTTCTCGTGAGTGTTGATAACTGGTGTTATGATTTTATTCTGTGGATGAATTTTCGAAGTGTTCGGTAACTCCCTTAAAATAGGTAATTATATGGCTTGAAAAGGCCATATCCGTTTATAAGAAACAACCTTGTATTTTTATTAAAAGTACATTACAGTCTAAATACAATGGTCGAAAATTGCAAAAATCTAAAAACTACTTATTTTTATTGACTAAAAGTCTTCATCTGCATAGTATCAAGCGGAAGATTTTGATTAATATTGGTGAAACTATATAGTTTTGTCAACGTTCTTGCACACACGTACAAAACTTTAAGACTCGGTAACTTTAATAATCCAAACAACATAAGTCACAAAATAGATTTTTGTCTAGTGAATTATTTTCTCTATTGGTAGATTGACCTGAATTTGTGTGTTTCTACTTAAATTAATCAGTCATTTCCTGATGCTCATCACTTTCTGACTAACCAAACACAGCAAATAATTTCGACATGAAGTTACTAACGTTGTGGTGCTCAACCTGTATGTTTCCTCCACGGTTGTATATACAACGCCCCAACACGTCTTCGGGATTCCTTGTTTCAGTTGCATAAGTGTTTGACGCAGATTTCCGTTTTGTACACAGAAAGTAGAGCATTTTATCTGTTTCCCTCTTATTCATAAAATATTTATTTCTAAGGACTTGGAAGTTAAAACTAGTAACGTAGGTTGAAGATTATGCTCAACAAGTTAGCGAACCCGTATAATTTAGTCTTCTATAATAAATATTACACGTTAGCTATACTGTGTTTATTTCTAATGTGACCGTTCCTGTAAAGACTTAGTTTTTTTCTTGAAAGATTTCAGGGTACTCCGTAAGGGTACTACGCAGATTATGTCACGCTAGCGTATATTGTTTCCGTCATCTATTTGGCAATATTAAATTGAACGGCAAAGCTAAAAAGAGTAAACCCTTCCACGTATCACAGGAAATAACCATGCAATTGAACGTCTGAGTAATAAAATATTTGGTGAATCACATTTTTCGAAATTGATAGATAATGGCAGTTCCGAATACTTTGCTGAAAGTTCCATTTTAAATTGTATCAGTTAAGAAGTGGTTGAAGGAATATCAAAATTTTGGAAACGGTCTACTTCGATATCAGTACCGCTCTCATAATAGACCTAACCCTAAAATTGTAGATTTGCCGTTATTTAACTGCCTAATCTATAAGGTTTTACGTGGAAGTCATACCATTGACTACACCAACCCATCGCATCGTAACAAAAGCCAGTAAATGATGAGGAATAAAACTGGGCTAGAGATAGAACAATATATTTAACGTGAATAAAAGACATTTACATAAGTAGGATAACGCCTGCAAAATGTCTAACTCTCTAAAGTATGAAAACTTCTGCACTACACAGAAAGTAAATGTTCACCCGCCAATTAATGAGCTTCAATATGGGTTTTGCTGACCATTGTTTGGATGTGAAATCTACAGGAGTCTTCAACATATTTCTTTAACGTTTTTTAAAACCTGAACGAAAATATCCACAAGTTAGCAGCGTTCTCACTACAGAACTTAAAGAGATTGGCCAGTAACTACGTTTAGTTGCTTTTTTTCGATGTTTTTAAACCAGTCGTAGTGCAAATACTTAGTATATTGTCGGACTAACACAGAATAGATTTTGTCGCCGTGTTCCAAAAATCCGTTAGCTATATAATATTTTGTGCCCTTTCTGAATATCCTACTTTTAAATCAAGCATAAATTGGCAGAATTGTGTGTCGTCTGCTGCCACTCTAGGGCAAGTAAGCAAATTATTGACACGATATATTCTAATCAGATATTTCCCCAGTGTTATTATTTTAAAATCTCGAGCTGTCCAGATGCTAGGACAAGGTGTCTGAGCTTAACGTGGTAGCCGACACTACATTCTTCATGCAACCCGGTCCTGGGCAATAGTTTCCAGTTCCTAGTCATCTTTTTCATGTCTGCTTCCAAGTCCCGACGTAGTGTGTTCTTCGGCCTTCCTCTTTTCCGTTTCCATTCGGGATTGCAAGTTAGGGCTTGCCTCGCGGTACAGTTTGGTGATTTCCTCAATTTATATCCTATCCACTTTCAACGTCTCTTCCTAACTTCTTCTTCAGCTGGAAACACGTTTGTCTCCACCCACAGTAGGCTGTTGCTGATAATATCCGGTCAATGGATATTGAGTATCTTGCGTAGAAAATCGTTTATAAAAACTTGTACCTTTTTGATTATGGTTGCAGTAGTTATCCACGTTTCAGCTCAGTACAGTGTAACTGTCTTGACGTTCGTATTGGAGATTCTGATTTTGGTATTAGTTGACAGTTGTTTTAAGTTCCATATGTTTATCAATTGTATGGATGCAGCTCTTGCTTTGCCATTCCTTGCATTTACGTCTGCATCAGATCTTCCTTGTTCATCAATCATGCTTTCCAGGTACGTGGAAGATTCCACCTCTTCCAGAGCTTCTCCATCAAGAGTGATTGGATTGCTGTTCTCCGTGTTGTATTTGACAATATTGCTTTTTCCTTTGTGTATGTTGAGGCCTACTGATACACTAGCTGCTGCTACATTGTTTGTCTTGACCTGAATTTGCCCGTGTGTATGAGATTGAAGAGCTAGGTCATTTTCGAAGTCCAGATCGTCCAATTGCGTCCAACATGTCCATTTTATTTCATGCTTCCACTCAGACATCGAAGTCTTCATAATCCAGTCAACCACCAGAAGAAAGAGAAAGTAGGAGAGTAGGCAGCCTTGTCTGACTCCGGTCCTTGCTTGGAATGCGTCTGTCGGCTGTCCTCCATGCACGAATTTTCAGTGTAGTCCGTTGTGGTGTCGAAGAAGTTTCCACAAGGTCCTCCTATCTACACTGTCAAATGCCTTTTCATAATCAATGAGGTTGATGTACAATGAAGAGTTCCACTTAACTGATTGTTCAACGATGATCCGTAGTGTCGCAATCCGGTCTGTGCACGACCGATCCTTACGGAATGCAGCTTGTTCCTGAATAGAACGTGGAGCATGTTTGCTGTCACTTGTATATCTGACTCTAGTGCTCTGACTTGTATATTGTCAGGTCCTACTGCTCTCCCACTCTTGATTTGTCTGATGATCATCCTGGTTAATTTCGACCGTTGGTGGAGTGACATCGATAGAAAGATATGTAGGTGTAGCTTCGATATCCGGTGGATTCAATGAAGCTGGTCTATTCAAGAGTTCCTCGAAGTGTCCCATGCACCTGTTCCTCTGTCCTTGAATTTCAGTGATTGGCTTGCCTTCTTTGTCTTTGAACGGTCTCTGTGGTTTGCTATATTTCCCAGACCAAAACATGGCACAAGTCCATGAAGTCACTGACAAGTAGACTGAGTCATATTGGTAGATGTAGAGATGATAGCAACCGATGGTTAGAGACCCTGAATGACATGGCTCAAAATTGTTTGCAGTGGCACAGGTGCATCCACTCTTTGTGTTCTCCCAAATTCCAATCTTCTGAGTTCTTCATGTCCCTTTCGTTTTTCTCTTTTCAACTTTGTTTCACTGGATCATACTCCTTGAATAACATCTTCAAACCCTAATGTTTCTGATTGCAGCTTATAATTTTACTACATCTTGCACTACGGAATTTGAATCGACCACTGCATCTCTGTGCTAATGTGGCGTGGCAACTTGAACTGATGTACGTACGTACGAAGTTCTACGTTGTTACTGACTGACTGGCTGATATTTCCCTGTTAGTTTCTTCGTTGTGTCATATAGTTATTTCATATTTCCTTCTCTTGCTGTTTTTTCACTGTCGTTGCTTGGCCTTCCAGGTATTTCTGTTTGCCGGCTCTCGTTCTCCTCTTCACTTGCTCGTTTGCTTCCGTGTATTCAGCTTTTGCCTTCATTTTCTCTGTTGTTGTTAATTGCTGTATTTTTGTTCTTCCTTTCTTGAATTTAGTCCAGGGTTCCGATGCAGATCCATTACTTATGGTGATGCTTCTTGAGGCCCAGAATTTCTTGACCCGTAGAAGTTGGTGCTTCTTTGATCTCTTTCCAGTTGTCCTCCATTGTAGTTTTTTCTTCGTTCCCTACGGTTATCCTATAACTGAACTTATCTTCTGATGGATTATCTGCTCATCTAATCCTAGTGATTTAACGAAATGATTTATAGAGATTCTTTGGAACCTAGGTTTAGCTACATAACATTGATTACGAATAAAAATTTATACTTATAATCCGTTTATAAATTTAATGGTTCATGTGTAATAATCTAATCAAAAAATGAATTAAGTGATATTTCTAAGCGTTTGTTTTTGGTTTTGTTTTTGACTTATAAGGATGTTTGACTATCAAAATGAAGACATAATATCGATCCAGGCCAACTCTCTTGATATAGCTAAATTTCTGAAAAATCATGGCATTTCTGATTCAATCATTGACATTTTCACTAAGAACACAATCGATGGATTGTCATTTTGTCTGTTAACTGAGAAAGACTTATGTGAAATGGACATCAAAGAGGTTGGTGTTAGAAAACGTATCATGTATTTATGTTGCTTCTGGCGTCACCAAATTGAAAATCATAATTATGGAGAATATACTTTCCCAAGATTACCAAGTGAGAATTCTGTGGTTGATCTGCTATGCTGCCATAATCCTAAATTGGATAATATGGAACAAGATGTATCCAGATTAAATGGAAATGATAATGTGGAGTGTATAGCAGACAGTACTTTTTTAAATGATTACGATTACGGAATAGATGAAGACAATACAAATTTCTGGAAATTTATAACCAGTTGTTTGTATTTCATTTTTGCTACATTTGTTACAGCATTTGTTATAGTTTCGGTCCATGAACGTTTACCTGTTACATCGAAATATCCTCCGTTACCAGATATTTTTCTAGATAATCTTCCTCATATCAGTTGGGGGTTTATTGCAGCAGAAGTGGTTATCATTGTACTGTTTATGATTTGGCTAACTATTTTATTTCTACATAAATATCGGTGGATACTTTTACGTCGTTTTTTTGTGCTTATGGGCACGATATTTTTATTAAGATCAATTACTATGTCGATAACTTCACTAAGTGTCCCTGGAGTGCATTTAACAGATCAATGTAGCCCATATATAATAAAAAATTATACAGAACGCTTCAAACGTGCATTAGAAATATGGATAGGTTGTGGTTTATACATTACGGGATTACGCACTTGTGGTGATTATCTATTTAGTGGTCATACAACATGTCTTACTCTTCTTAACTTTTTCATTAGTGAATATTCACCACGAAGATTTTATCTTTTGCATACATTTACATGGGTTCTGAATCTTTTCGGTGTATTTTTCATACTTGCTTGTCATGAACATTATTCTATTGATGTATTCATTGCTATATATATTTCATCAAGATTATTTCTATACTATCATTGCCTTGCTAATAATAATTTATTACATCAACCAGATAATGAACGTTTAAGAATGTGGTTCCCATTATTTTCATTTTTTGAACATGATGTACGATCAGTTGTACCGAACGTATATGAAATACCCTTTAAAGATTATTACAACGATAAATTTAATCGTAATAACAATAATAATAACGGGAGCAGAAGCAGCGGCAGTAGTATCCATACCAATGGTAACAGTAGTTGTAGCAGTAATGCAACTGGTAATTACAATCAAAATTACGGTAAAAGGCAATTGGATCATGTTCGTCGTAAATCTACACGTTGTCTGCTACGTACCTATCATAATACTAACAATCATGAGTATTCAACTTGCAATCACATAACACAAACATTAGGAAATACATTCATTACAAAACGTTGTGAGATTTTTAGTAAAAAAGAATCTTAGTGATATTTTTTTATTTCCAATACTTCTCAACTTTTACATAATTACTTGAAAATTTTATCATTTTCTTGTGAAAATATTTTACTGTGATGAACAATGAGTGAGTGCATTGTGTCAAGTATTTCAAAATTAGTTATCTTTTGTTTAACAAGTAATTTGTAAACATGTGATTAATGTACCCATTTTCTTAATATATATATAATGTACGGATAGATCAATCTTGTCTTCTTTTATAAATTGTTCATGTGTAAAAAAGTTGCAGTTTTCCAAAAATGTCCAGTTGTTAGTTTTCGGAAAAAAAACAGTTTGGAGAAATATTTTGTGTGATGAAACTAATTGTCTTTAGAGCAAATATTCAGACCATTCAGGGTCTAAATTATGTATAGTTAGTTATGATGGAAGATAAAACTTCCCTGTAATTTTGTTTTTAAAAAGAAAAATGTTCCAAACCATAATATCATTTTATCTACGTGATATTAAACGATTGTGTAAGTTATAAAAACAGTAGTTGAACAATTCGATTGTTGGTTCTCATTTTCATATAGTTAGCTTCAATCAACTAGAAAATATCAATAATCTTAAAATAAAATGTGTACCTCAAAGCCGAACACGACAGATAAAAGGGAAAGGTTGTATTGCTTTTATTCAAAGTAAAAAATATCACTTTGTAAACTGCGTAATATGAAGTGGCTATAAAAATAGATTAAAATTTTTCCCCTTTGATAAATTTAGATAATACGACGGGGAGACGAAGGTTATCAGAACTATTCGATATGTTAGCTTAATACATATCAAACAATCTGACTATACATTTATTTGTTAGGTCGTTTATTCATGGAAAAATCAAGGTCAACCAGAAAAATTAAAAGATGGCAGAAAAACAAAGATAATAGGAAATATAGTGGGAAATTATCACTTGTTCAAACGGTAAGATCATCGTTTCTATAAATCACATTATTTTATTATTGATGTAGCTTTAACCCAATTATCTCACTATATTTATTTATCTGAACACATAAACAAGGAGGCACCAATTACATATGGGCCACACAATACCAATGAGGCCAGTGGCAGTTATTATTGATTTATGGGAGGGCTGGAATACTGACCGGGTGCCCAGACCGAAGCAGATGTTTTCTTAAGGAGACAAACCCAGGGCCTTCGACCTAAAGGTCTGATCCATAAGGCAGCGAAGCAACTTTGGATGATCCAGTCCCATGGTAGCCGGTGACCAACAACTAGGTCACACACCTTTTGTTCCTTCAGGATCCTGGAGCCCATGTGCACCATAACTCAAGAGCTAAATCAATCCTTGGGTACCGAGAATAAGAAACAAACAAACCACTTAGCCAACTAGTACACAGTTTCCAATCACATAATTTGAATGACTGAAAACTTTCATTTTATTAAAACAGACCAATAAATGACTTTCTCGAAGTGTATTTTAAAAAATTCCCTTTCATATGTCATGTTGATCGTCAAAGTAAGTTTTTGTTCGGAAGTTGAATTAAACAAGCGATTATGTAAAATGGATACAAAACATATATCCACTCACCACCACTCTATTGAATGTTGTTATGTTTTGAAGATTGTGTGTATGTGCACGTGTATCTCATTAAACAATGTGATAAAGTCAACAACAATAGATTATTCATTACATGAATCGATGAATAAACCAATCCATAATGATGAGTTTCACGCATTGTTTGTCACCTAACATTTAATCAAGTTGTAGTCTTGATAATAACGGTTCAAAAACAAATATTCTGTATGTGAATTATAGGATTAAGAAAGAGATATTCTTCTGCATTTGAAGCATCTCTCCTACATTTAAGCTTGTTTACGTTAAATGGTGTAAAGCCCTTCAATTAATTTATTTAACAGATGATATTATTCGGAAAGTTACAATTTATCTATGTTCTTTGTATTATTATTATTATTATTACCATGTACATATATATATATATACATCGGGCTATACTGGCTGGAACAATCACTCCTCAAGTTCCTACCATGCCACACAGGTCGGTTGAACAGCAGTAAGACTGAAAGCGCAAACCCAAGGTTTGAGGGTGAAGTCGTACTGTTGACTGTACAGAAGTATGACGGTAGTAAGGTGTTTCCTTCAGTAAACCGGCATAACAGCGATGCTGCCTTCTCACAAAGAGGGGTAGGGTTACAGAAGGTCGACCCTAAAAATGCACACCTCGCCTTATCCCACGGATATCCGTCTCCGGCGGCGAAGTTCCAACAAGTATAAGGTTGATTCGAAAATTACTCACGAGAGATCGTGTGTGACCGGCCTCAAGCAGTTGTTTCTTGGGAACTGCGGTCACACTCTTAGGTCACTAAGACCACCTCTAATCCACTTTCCTTTTCAGGTACCTTCAGAAGAACCCTTCCACAGTGTGGGCGACTGGGAAGTGATAACCGCCCTCATAACTCTATCAGCGCTCAATGCTACAGTATCCATTATCAATTTCCCTCTTCGATTCCCATTATTCCTCCTACCTCGACTTTCAACTCTAAACTTCCTCTTTTGGCTTTCTTCTCAAGTGTCTCCATAGCCAACGATTCTAGTGCGCAAAACACTGTCCCAAGTCTACTGAAACCTCGCTCCAAACTACACATTGGAGCCTTCAACGTATGCACATTATGTCAAATCGGTCAGCAGGCCTCCTTGGCTAAAACCCTAGGACCCCGTACCATTGATGCATGTTGTGTTTCCGAAACACGCACACAGGATCCTAGTGTGGTCATTTACTTGACCTCATCTCGGCAAAACGGAGAGCCAACGAGATACACCCTCCGTGTATCTGGCGACCCGATGACTAGTTCTATTAGACTTGTAGGTGTAAGCATAGCACTAAGTACGAGGGCAGAACAAGCACTATTAGAGTAGATCCCCGTTAATAGTCGTCTATAAGCTGTTAGGCTAAACGGCTCCGTAAAATCTCAAAAGGATAGAGACACACATCGTTGCTTTTCGTCGTTTCTGTCTACACTCCCACTGCACTGAAACCCAGTTGAACTGAAAAATGACTTTTACAGAAAGCTGAACGTTCAGACATGGTACTCGTAGCTTACTTATTTACTTACTTACTTACACCTGTTACTCCCAATGGAGCATAGGCCGCCGACCAGCATTCTCCAACCCACTCTGTCCTGGGCCTTCTTTTCTAGTTCTATCCAATTGTTGTTCACTTTTTCTCATGTCTATTTCCATTTCTCGGCGTAATGTGTTCTTTGGTATTCCTCTTTTTCTTTGACCTTGAGGATTCCATGTGAGGGCTTGTCTTGTGACGCAGGTCGGTGCTTTCCTCAATGTGTGTCCTATCCACTTCCAGCTCTTCTTCCAGATTTCTTCCCCCGCTGGAATCTGGTTTGTTCTCTCCCACAGTAGGTTGTTGTTGATAGTGTGTGGCCAACGGATCCGAAGTATTTTGCGTAGACAACTGTTAATAAACACTTGTATCTTCTGGATGATGGCTTTTGTAGTTCTCCAGGTTTCCGTCCCATAAAGTAGAACTGTCTTGATATTTGTATTGAAAATCCTGACCTTGGTGTTGGTTGAGAGTTGCTTTGAGTTCCAGATGTCCTTCAGTTGTAAATATACTGCTCTTGCTTTGCCGATCCGCGCCTTCGCATCTGCATCAGATCCACCTTGTTCATCAATGATGCTGCCCAGATATGTAAACGTTTTTACACCTTCCAAAGCTTCTCCGTCAGATGTGGTTTAATTGGTACATGTTGTGTTGTATCGGAGATCCTTGCTTTTCCCTTCGTGTATGTTGAGACCTACTACTGCTACACTGGTCGTCTTCTCCCGCATTTATTGTTGCATTTGGGATAGAAGAGCCAGGTCATCTGTAATGTCTAGATCGTCCAGTTGCATCCTATCTGTTCATTGTATCCCGTGCTTCCCCTCAGATGTTGACATCTTCATAATCCGATCGATCAACAGGAGAAAGAGAAAGTGTGAGAGTAAGCAACCTTGCCTGACAGCGGTTTTTACTTCGAACGAGTCTGTGAGCTGTCTTCCATGTATGATTTTGCAGTTTGACCCATCATAGGAATTCCGTATGATATTGACTATCTTCTCAGGCACGCCGTAGTGTAGAAGAAGCTTCCATAGTGTTGTCCTGTCCATGCTATCAAATGCTTTCTCGTAGTCAATGAATTTGATGTATAGTGATGAGTTCCATCCAATTGATTGTTCCACAATGATCCGTAGTGTTACGATTTGGTCTGTACACGACCGATCTTTACGGAATCCAGCCTGTTTGTCTTGAAGTTGAGTATCTACGGAGTTATTCATCGTGTTTAACAACACCCTGTTGAAGACTTTTCCTGGTATTGTGAGAAGATTGATGCCCCTGTAGTTATCACACTTGCTGAGATCGCCTTTCTTTGATATCTTGATCAGGTGTCCTTCTTTCCAGTCTGTTGGTATTTGATCTAAAATACTAGCCTATATAATCATCGGGCATGAGAAAACCAGGCTGGCTTCAGACCTGGTCGTGATTGTATCAACCACATATTCACTACTGATCAGAACACAGGCAAGCTTATTGGTGTCCGACAATAATAATTTTTCTTGACTTGAAAGCAGCATTTGACTCTGTAGACCAAGAGGTTCTATGGCAGCGTCTGCCACTAATAAACGTACCTCAGAAGTACATAAACCTTTTTAGTTAACAAGGTAATATTTTAACTAATTTACTATGAAAGTAAATTTTTCTATTCATCTTACATTCACATTGAAGTGCAATCATCCTCCACATAATGACTAATAATTTTGTGTTTATACTCATACTTCTTATAAGTGAGAAATTCTTCAAAGTGAATGACAAGAGAATCTCTTCCCTTCAAAAAACGTCATACAATAATTAAATTTGTTATGGTATGATCAGACTTTTTGTACGTCAACAGTCCTATTCAGTTTTCTAATTATTATGAAATAGTGCATTACTACTACTACCACTACTGTCATGTGAGTTTTTATGTTTTATCTCTATAGCAGAAGCATTCTCATAATTTATAATATTATTCAGTCGTTTATAAATTTCTCAAGATCCTAGCTATTGAATGGTTAAATGAGTAACCAGTAGGTAGACTGGTCAGTATAATTTATCCAATATTTCATTTCGCTTACTTAACTTTTCATACATAAGATATATTTTGTCGAACATTCTTTGTATAACTGTAAATCTGGGCTTTGTAGTAACAGTGTGTAGTTTGACGACAGTATATCTAAATAATATGCATCACAAATGCCATTTGGAACCTGATAAAAGTTGGGATAAGAAGGCGAGGTCACATTATCTCTAACTCGATATAATATTTTATGACGCTAGTTCAGTCCCAATGATATTTTGAAATTGGTCTTATTTTCATTGTAGCATTTAGTCAGAACAGTATTAGGGTTTATATTCCCCAGTGCAACATTCTTTCAGGTCAGTATATTCATTATCAGTTAAGTGCGAGTTTCATTCAATATGAATGGTGTGAACTT